CGACCTGCCGCCCGCCCTCAGGGAGTCAAGCACGAGATGCCACACGGCATGGCGGCCGGGCTCAGAAGAAACTGAGCGAGACGCCCAGACTCCGTTACCGAAGCTCTTCACTTAGAAGTCACGTAAAAAAAAAAAATGAACCACAATGGTAGCACCCGTGGCCTCATGAGGCCCTCAGGGCCCCGCATGCCTGCCGAGCGCCCGCACTGCTTACGGCTGTTTCGCGATACAAAGACGACCTTCAAAGTGACAAGGAAGCCCATGAACATGTGTGGACACTATCTGGACGCAGGACGGGAGGTGGGACAAGAAGGAAGACGCACAAACACTCGGATCCCCGACAGCGTCGTGGGGGCAGCGCCCACACTCACACGTGTCCTGAGCGTGCTCAGAGAAGACCGGACACAATCCCAGGCACGCGTGGGGGAAGACACGGGCAGACTCACCCTCCAGAGAAGGCTCCGTCTGGGGGCCACATAACAAACACCGCTTGTGTCAAAGGAGAAGCGGGTACTGACATATATCCGTCTACACGCGGAGAGGAACCGCCAAGGAGGGTGCCGGCCGGCACCAGACACGCCATATGTCTTCGGACGCGACAGCTGAATCGCTGTGAACGCGGAATGTCGCCTCCCACTCAACCTGATGCCAGCTGCAGAGCTGGCCTCTGGGTCCCGATCAAGGGCCCTCCGGGCTGCCAGAGGTGTCAAGACAGCCAAGAGAGGCCCCTGGGGTGGGCTGGCCCGGGCCTATTTACCCAGAGGTCTCTGGCCTCAGTTAAGAGGCCGACTGAAATTTCAAGGGAAGTTAACCTCGTCCTCATCTGTCCACAGATGACCAGGAGGGGACAGTAAGGCCGTTATCGACCAAGAGCAGGGGAGAAAAACCAGGCAACATTCAGAGCCGTGAACACATGGCACGTGACAGGGTCACCACACCCTCGTCCGGACCCCCAGCCAGTGTGGGGGGGGGTGCTGACACCACCGGATCCCGGGGAGGTCTTGGCACAACAAGCGTATCGACGCTGGCCCGACGTAAGGGAAAGCCCCTCAACCACGCACCTGCTTCAGCTGCTCCCTCAGACGATCCTCTGTGACTCCAAGGGCCCGCATGCCTCGTGCCCGACACGCTGACTGCAATTCCTTGACGTTCAGGCTGTCCACCCCTTCCTCGGCGATTAGCTACAAAAGAAAGCCGACAAACTACACACGGAAAGGTCATCAGAGGTGGTGGTGCTTATGTGACACGCTTGGAACCCAGCGTCTAAATACCAGACGCTTCCCTGATGTGCCTCACCAAGCACAGGACGAATCGCCACCACTGAGGCCTCCGCTCTGGGTCCGGAGTGACCAGGCTGTCCGGTGGGGGGTGGGGGCCTCGGGGAAGCACACAGTGGCCAGGACCGATCCGGCCTCTGCCCAGGCCCGGCTCCTCGCTCTCAGCGCCCCCTTCCTCTTCCGCCGCCTCTTTGTGAACACCCCGGCTGTCCTCCCCACCCCACCACGGGTTCTCAGGACAGAGGAGGAAGGAGGGAGAGCAGGGCGAGCCTGACCGCAGCCAGAGCCCCCTCCCTCCTCCTCAGCCTGAGACTACGGTGACGCAAGGGAGAAAAATAAACCAGAGTCCCGGAGACGGAAGACACAGAATGTCGTGGAGACGGTGCAGGGGTGGCAGGGGAGGGGAGAGAAGAAAGAACCAGAGGGGCCCCAGGTCGATGCCACGCAGGGGTGCACCCGCCACCTCATTCGGCCCCACTCAACCTCATGACGACCCCGGGAGGCAGACGCGTCCATCGCTTCCCTTTTCCAAAGGAAGCTTCTCATCCCGGGCTGACTGGAGATCAACACGCAGGTGTGACAGGGTTTCTCCCAGCGGTAGCGTCTCTCGAACCATAGTGACAAAACCATACCCAGAATGACGGCAGGACACCAAGCCGGTCATGGCAGAAAACCTTTCTTGTCCTTTCACAGACACACCGGCACCTCCTGAACCCGTGGCGACCACGAATCCGACCACTAATCCAGCCTTCACGCGCGTGTCTGTGTGAAGCATGTTGCACGGGTGGGGTCGCACGCATGCACGCACACGCTACTGGGGATTCCTGGAAGACTCCTGCAGGCTGTCGAGCACGTTAACAACAGCTTGTCTTTCGGGTGCTAACTAGCTCTGCACGGTAGGACCATCCATCCGGGCTGACCTTCTCCCATCGCACGACAACTGGGCTGTTTCCGCTGTGGGCTTATAATGGAAAACCTCGTTTTTTCCCCTCTCCCCATCTTCCTGTGGGAAACACGAATTCCACCGGCGCTTCCGAGTCTATCTCCTCATATGGCGTTTTTGGTGGTCGCTCTGGGTGTTACCGATGGACGCACGCCCTCCGTGTCCTTGTTCGGGTCCAAGCGAAATGTGGAAACCTCACCCCCGGACGCCCCTCAGCCCTCTCCTACTCTAAGCTCGTCTTAATGTCTCTTCCTTCCAACCCCACACGGCACTGTCGCTTCTGTCTCAACTATCACACGGACTTTAGAAGGCAAACGAGAAGGAAAGTCTACTGGGTTTACCCATATTTTGCTGACCACCTTCTTTCTTCTTCGTGTTCCAGAGATCTTTGAACAACACGGGCTTAAACTGTCCACAGGTCCACTTATGCACAGGTGTCCCTCGACACAGCAGTGCTGTAAACGTCCGTTTTCTTTTCCCTAGCTTACTTTATTACACAAACACAGTATACAATACACGTAACCCACAAAATAGGGACTAATGAACCGTTTATGTTCTCGGTAAGGCTTCAGGTCAATAGTAGGCCATCGGCAGTTAAGTTTCTGGGGAGCCCAACGTCCTGCACGGAGGGCGGGGCTGTGCCACCTGCTGGCCCACCGTGGGGCAACAGAGAACAGGACGCTCCCTCTGCTTTGCGTTTTTAATGGAGTCAAATCCATGTGCTTTGGGTATTTTTCCCTTTAATCTTGGGCATTTTGTTTCTTTCTAAGAACTCAACTTGAAACATCACAGACCCAAGAATCCTGTAACAAGTGCAACTGTAAACACTGCCTTTTTATACACACTCACCATGGACTTTTGCTGCCTTCTAGACAATTTATTTTGCCACGCGGTATGACTGCAGCTGTGTTAACTTATACGCTGTAACCTTATTTCACTCACGCGTAAAGGAAAGTTCTACTGTGCCGGGACCCTGCCAGGGGAGCGCAGGGCCCAGTGTCCTAAGCCCCACGTTGTTCAAGGGTGGATTACTTCCTGTTTAGAGACCCTCCTCCAGGTTCTCGCAGGGCAGACGTGCTGCTGGCCGTTCTGTTTCCTTCTCCTGAGAAGGTCTTGATTCTCCCCTCTTTTTCAGAGGATATTCGCTGGATACAGGATTCTGAGTTGACAGGTTTTTTCCAGTATGTGAAAAATACTGTTCCCTCCTCCTGGCTGCCACAGTTTCTGATAAGCAGCTTGCTGTCCCTGGAGTCACCCTCCCTGTGCCAGACGCCGGTCTCGCTCACTGCCGTCACGATTACCTGTCCTCGGTGCTGCTTAGTGTCACGGTGATGGGTCTTCATGTGGATTTCTTTGGGTTGGTCTTGCCTGAGGTTCACCCAGCTTCTAAAATGTGTTGACTTCAGGGGCACCCGGGTGGCTCAGTTGGTTATGCATCCTACTCTCGATTTCAGCTCAGGTCACAGTCTCTCAGTTTGTGAGTCTGAGCCCTGTGTCGGGCTCTGCGATGACAGCACAGAGACTGCCTGGAATTCTCTCTCTCTCTCTGTCCTTATCCTGCTCACACACTCATGCATGCGTGCATGCTCTCTCTCACAAAATAAATAAGCTTTAAAAAACAAATACAAATAAAATGTGTTGACTTAGGTCTTTTACTGAATGTGGAAAGTGTTCAGGAGTTATTTCTTCAAGCACCTTCCCAGCTCTAGCCTCCCTCCCCTTTCCAGAACTCCGATGACGAGTATGTTAGATGCTTTCCTCTAGTCCCACAGGTGGCTGAAACCCTGCTTGTTTTTTAACTGTTTTCTCAGATGTTCAAACGGGTGATTTTTTAAAGTTTTTATTTATTTAAGTGATCTCTATACCCAACGTGGGGCTTGAACTCACAACCTCAGATCAAGAGTCGCACACTCCTTGGGGCGCCTGAGTGGCTCAGTCAGTTAAGTGTCTGACTTCAGTTCAGGTCGTGATCTCACAGTTCATGAGTTCAAGCCCCGCCTCGGGCTCTGTGCTGACAGCTCAGAGCCTGGAGCCTGCTTCAGAGTCTGTGTCTCCCTCTCTCTCTCTGCCCCTTCCCCACTCACACTCTGTCTCCCTCTCTCTCAAAAATAAATAAAACATTAAAAAAAAAAAAGTGGCACGCTCCTCCAACTGAGCCAGCCAGTGCCCCAAACAGGCAATTTCTATAGTTTATCTTAAAAGTTCACTGATCCTGTCTTCTGTCCTCTCCTTTCTCCTGTAGAGCTCATCCACTGAGCTTTTTATTTTGGATTGTATTTTTCAATTCTAAATTTCCATTTGGTTTTTCTTCCTCCTCTTTTTTAATGCTTATTTATGTATTTAGAGGGAGACAGCGCAAGCAGGGGAGGGGCAGAGACAGGGAGGGAGAGAGAGAATCCCAAGCATCCTCCGCGCTCACAGCGTGGAGCTGACCTGGGGCTCAATCTCACCAATTGTGAGATCATGACCTGAGCTGAAATCAAGACCTGATATCCAACCGACTGAGTCCCCCAGGGGCCCGTCTCCTCCTCTTTTCTCCTGGGAGGCTGTGTCTCCACGCGGCTCACTCCCTAGCTGCCCGGTGAGGCGCCACACGCGGCTACTTTGGGCCTGCTGTGTGCTTCCTCACCTCCGGTCTCCGGGCTGACCCCACTGCTTGGCTCCTCTCACGGGGACGTGAGAATCCTGTCTCAAGCCCTCCGAACACAAAGCCTAAGCCCTGCGTATCACTTACTGCAGCTGGCCACTCTGACCACACTAGTAATAAAGGCCAAGTCCCACGTCCTCCCTTGCTCCCGCTTCCTGGTCCCCAGGGGCATCAGCGTCTCATGTAGTCCTGAGCAGGGGCTGTACCCGCTTCTGGCGCAAACGTGAGTCACAAGCTCTCTTTGATGGCTGATCTGTCTGTGCCCCCTCTCGGTTACACCCACAAATTACACCCGTGGCAGTTTGGAACAACTAGGGGGCCGCCTCGTTGCTGCCAGGCTCCCCATTCAGCCTCCGCCAAGCCCCAGAGGAGAAGCCAGGGTAGCGGGGAGCCCTCCACGCACCTCCGGGGCTGCCAGGGGCAGGCTGGCCCCACCTGGCCTTTGGACGCCATCCAAACGGGGTGTGCAGGGAAGGTCTTGGAACTGCCAGGCCCCCTGCTGGTCTCTACGGACACTGTGCCCCGGGGTGGGGGTGGGGGGGGCCCGGAGCGGCAGCTCGTTACCACCCGCCGGGGAGGAAGGAGCAGCTTTCCCTGACGCCACCCCAGTTGTGACATCCTGAAGAGGGTGGAGGTCTCAGCCCTCACCCACCGGCGCCTGGCGTAGGGGGACTACTTCCTCTAGTGTTTGGCTGGAGTAGAGCGTTACTGTCTGAAGCCTTCTGTCCTGCTAGGCAGCCCCTTTCCTTTAAAAAAAAAAAAAAAAAAAAGTTTATCCACTTATTTTGAGAGAGAAAGCACGAGTGGGGAAGGGGCAGAGAGAGGGAGAGAGACCTCACCAACCGTGACATCATGACCTGAGCCAAAATCAAGAGTCGGACGCTTAACCAGCTGAGCTTCCCAGGCGCCCCTGGAGAGCCCCTTTCCTGTCCTCTGGCCAGAGGGAGCAGGCTTTTCTCAGGGTTGTTTTTGTGTGTGTTTTAAATAATCTCTCTACCCAACGTGGGGCTCGAACTTACAACCCTATTGGTAAGAGCCCTGCCCGTCAGGGCTTCCGGAGTCCGCACTCATCAGCAAGCCTCAGCGGCCGCTCCTTCAGCACCAGGGTGCGAACACCCACCTGGTTGGTCTTGGGGTCCCAGGGTCGTCTTCTCCCACTTCTCAGAGACTTCTTGTATTTGGTTTTTACTTCACGCCCAGGACAGCGGAGGCCCAGGCCACCTCCCTGACAGTGCAGGCTGTTCTGTTTCAGAGGGCTCTGAGGCACTGAGCCGTGATTCGTCCAAGGTCACAAAGCAAGGGAGTGGCCAGGACTCCAGCCGGGGCCACCTGCCCCTAGCTGCCTCTCCTGAGGTGGGGGCAGCCACACGCAGGCTCCCGGGGAGTGAGGTGGCCCCCAGAGGACTGCCCATGCCAGCCCCCCTCACGCCCACAGAGTGGGTGTCCCAAGCGCCTTCCGAGACGCAATCCGTACGCAGTGGAGGAAGGACTTCCTTTCAACCCTACAAACCCACAGTGATGGCCTGCCACTTCCAGCTACGGCAAGGAGCCGGTTTTTGCCAGATCGGCACCCCTGCCGAGAGCTACTAGAAAAACCAGCTGAAACAAACACAGAAACAGGCTCGGAGGCACCAGAAAGCTAGCACAACAGGGCTCGGGGACAGCAAGATTACTCAGACCAGGAAAGACGGGACAACCACGGGGGTGTGAGCCACTGGGGACTCGGCGACACTTGCCGATGCGTAGCGCAGGCTCAGAGTCCAGGCCAAAGGCCCCCGCTCAGAGGCAGAGACACCCCGCCAGAGCCAAGAGGCTGCCGCCCAGGGAGAGGGAAACGCCCAGGGAGAGGGAAACGTGCACAGAGCGGGGCGGGGCTCCTGGGCTCTGGTCCGCAGGGGGCACCGCGAGGAAGGGACACAGGGGAACTGCAGCCCACACTCTGTCAGGGGAGCAAGCCAGAGGCAGCAGGGCCGGCCCCGATCCGTGGTTAGTGGTCTCAGGCCAAGTGGCCCCTCTCTAGCGGGGCAGACCCAGGCGGGCCCTGCCTGGAACCTCGGAAACTTCTCACGGACAACGTCTAGGTCCAGGAAGGAGACACTGCAAACCAGCCCGAGAAAGCAAACCGGACAAAAAGACCCACAGACCACAGCTACTGGAGTGGTCAGACACGAACTATGATGAGCACGTTCGCGAACACAGAGAAGTGGCCGGGAGCAGAGACCGGACACCTCCGAGGTGCCTATACGGCCGGCAGATGCCGCAGATTCCGGGGCCAGCAGCGCTCTCGGAGACAAGGGAGAGGTGTAGCAGCTCTTCCTGGAAACACTGGAGGGCACACTCTCAGAGAAAAGGGAGAGTTTTAGCAGCTCTTCCCGGAAACACACTGGAGGGCACATGCGGTGTGGCCGCAGGGCTGTGGGTGGGCCCGGTGGGGGGGACACCGCGGTCAGCACAGCCCTAGGAGCAAGGTGGTTGCTTTTGACCTCCTGCCCTTCTCCTCAGGAGCCCCAATCCTAGGTCACTCTTCTTATGAAAACTGTCAAAAATCGGTAACAAAACTCTGTGTCAAAAGAGCGTGGCTTCTGTTTTGTTTTTTGGTGCAAGAAGATGATTTTATTGAAGCACGGGGACAGGACCCGTTAGCAGAAAGAGCTGCCAAAAGACGTTTATCACAGCGCGGCTTAGGGGGCAAAACGTTAGCCAAAGTACCGGTGAATAAGTCACGACGTGTCCACACCATGAAACATCAGGCAGCCACTAAAATTCACCTTTTCAACAAATACTTAGCGACATGGGCAGGTCTCCTAATGTCACGCCAGGGGACAGACCGTAAGGGCCGTGCGGTTCCAACGTCATTCCAGGAGACGCACGCGCACGCTGGGTGTGTGCACGCAGGCCACGGTGGGCAGAGGCGCAAAGTGCCCACCGCCGCGATCTGGGAATGACAGGACCGCTGGTGACTCCGCCTCCCCTACGGTTAGGACACCGGAGCCCCAGGTGCCTGGAGAGGGTGGTCGCGAGTGCGGGTGCCCACCTTGTCGTCGGCCTTGATGGAGCGCAGCCTCATGGTGAGCTGGAAACGCAGGAAGTTGTTGGTGCCGATGGACTGCAGCTCCAGCAGCTTGCACAGGGCCACCAGCTGCGGTCGCGTCAGGTTGTCCAGGGTCAGCTCGTCCTCGAACAACTTGGAAAAACGCAGGATCTCCTCGTTGCTGGGTCTCTCACCGGTCTCTCGGATCTGTGGGATCAAGCGAGCCACCCACTGGGTGGGGGGGGCTCCCTAGCACCGCCCACGGCCTCGGGCCACACGCCCCAGCTGGAAGTGCCCCGGACCATCCACAACCCCCCTTCGGATCTCCCTGGTCACCAGGCTCCTCCTGGGGAGCAGCCCCTCGAGGGCTCCAAGCGCCCAGCCTGCACTGGCTCCCCCGGGGTGATGCCTCCCTGCAGCTTCCGGCCCCCCTCCCACTCGTGGACCCTTCCCGCCCACGCCAGCAGAGCCGTGGCTGTGGCTGTGGAGCAGCCTCGGGGCCCATCCCCTCCTCCCCCAGCCTGGTCCCCCAGCTCGTCACAACGGCAGGGTCTTAGTTCCGAATCTACTGAACTCTGCCTCCCCTGGGGCTGCTGCAAAGTACAGAGTCACAGGCAAATAATTCTGATGTCAGCAAGCTCAGGACAGCAGGCCCAACCAACATCACCGAGCAGGGTTAAACCCCGTAGGGCACCAGCTCACGGCCGCCTGGGGGCTCCACTCCCGCGTCCCGCATCCCTCAGTGAACAAGAGGGACGGGAGGCGTGCCCCTATGCAAGACGGGGCGGCCCCGAGGCGCTACCCGGCACTTGGGACTGGAGGGCTGAGGCCCCCAGGGCTCTGAAGCATCACGGCACCTTCTGGAAAAACACGGAGAAGTCTTTGGTGGCATTCCCCTTGGCTGCCTTGTTCTTCAGGGCCATCTCCTCGATGGTGTCCTGGAGGAACTTGGCCAGCTCCAGCTTGACCCGCAGCTCCTTCTTCAGCCTCTCCTCCTGTGAGGTCAAAGAGGGGGTGCTACCCTCCCCTGGCCCGCACCCCAGCTCCCGCCTGCTTCCACCCAGCACGGGGTCCGCTTTACCCCTCAGCCCGGCACCTCCCGCACTTTCCTGAGCGGCGCGCGCTCCCCCCGGGGACTGTGCCTTCCCAGACTTGCGCTTCCAGTTCGGGGCCTGAGAATATAGTTGTGGGGCCCCTCAGGGCAGGGACCGGCCGCTGAAGCTTCTAAGCTTCGTGGGCCGTTGGGCTGTGGGGGTGAAACAACGCTGTGACTGCGGGGACAGCAGATGGGCCCTGCCCTCCGCAGGTCGCACCGCCCACGGGCGGCCTCTCCCCGTGGCCTGAAGGACAGTGGGCTACAAAAACCGCACTTTAAAACACATTTAAAGAAAAACAACTCCGTAACCCACCGTCTACTAATCACAGCACAGCATGACCCAATTAGGAAAAAAACATACAACTTCAAAACCATCGACCATCTGAACGTCAGTCACAAACAACGCAGACGTTGTACTACGTCCAAATTCGCTCTGAAACGAGCTCCCGGCCCCGACGCCCTGTCACCTTGATGGACTGGGTCTCGAACGTGGACGGCAACATGTTGGGGAAGAGCTTCACGGCGACAGGGAGCAGGAACTCCATGAACGGCACCACCACAAAGACCAGGAAGGGGACCAGGCGAAAGAGGTCAGCGCATATCCGGAGAAACTGGGAAAAGGCGGAAGGGAGCAGGGGGTGAGGCGTTAACACCGGTGCTCACGACGACCGTCAGTGGCGCGATGGCAGCCCAAGCCCGACGGGGGTCGGCGAGGGCGCTAAGTCCCGACAGCCCGGCACGCTGCTCCCAAAGGCATCTGTTTCTCCAGCGTCCACACCGCGGGAAGACAGCCTTCAGAAAGGCTAGGAGGGGCGGAAGCCGGCGTGGGGAGCGGACCGCCCACCCCTTCTCGCCCCGTCCACCGGGGGGTCCCACTCTGCGGAGACAGCCTGACGCAGACACCGCGCTGCCCCCTGAACTCGGAAGCCAGCCGGATGAGAACGGCAGGCCGAGGTCGCCAGGGGAGGCTGTGGCCACACCGCCCGCCCCAAAGAGCCCGCAGAGAGAGTGTCACGGCTGTTTCTCGAGAGGGTCTGAGCACACAGCAACAGTTAGGCCAAAACCCAACACTTCCTCGACGTGAACCCACTACTGCTGACACCAGTAAACACGTTCACAAGTTGAAAGCATCGAAAGCCCCCGAGTGACACTCAGCGGACACTCGCTGCTGGGTCCCCAGTCAGCCTTCTCCTCAGTCTACTCAGTCAACACCTTTGACCCCAAGCTGCCTAGGCTCACAGGAACCGAGATGCATGCTCGTGCCGGTGGAGGTGTGCATTTCCACGGTCGTTAACTACACGTCTCCGGAAAAGCGAGGTCATTCCTAGAAACGGCTTTGTTCTGGCCTCTTCTGACACTTACGACGGTCAAGTGGCATGTTCCCGCCGGGGCGCCGCTCCCCAGATCCTGGCGGCCCTTCGCGGCAGTTGGGAGCCACCTGCCCCACGGTGGTGCGCACTGTGACCACCCGGCCAGAGGGTCCCCTCCCCAGCACTCTGTGGAGGAGACACCTGAGGCTCTTCTCCCTGGGCAGCACTCACCCAGCTCTTCCCAAACCAGTCTCTGCTCCAAGGGTCAGGGAACAGGGACCCCGACCTCGAGCCTGTCTTCCCACATACAAACCTTGCCCGTTCACTTTTCTATCTGTCGTCAAAACAGACTCACGGATCCCTGTACTTTTTCATTTGTTTACAATTTATTACTATTTCTACTTTTATGCTCAAATGGTCCCAGAAGAGGCCCTTCAAGCTGGTGTCTGTGTTTTCTGACATTCCTCCTTAATTTTTTTTCAGCAGTTCTATCAAGGTTTAATTTACATTCCATGACACTCCCCCACTATGAGTGTGTAATTCAATGATTCTTGGTAAATTTACAGCTTGTGAAACTATCACCAAAATCCACCTTAAGCACTGTCATCATACCATCAAGCGCCCTATGTCCATCCGCAGTCCATTTCAACCCTCAGCCCCAGGAAACCGGTAAATCGATTTGTTTCTCCCAGTTTGCTTACATAGGGCTGTAGAAGACGTTCTTTGGCATCTTTGGCATCTGGCTTCTGCCATGAGACACACAAATGCTGAGGCATGTTACGTCCTTTCAATGACTGCACCCCTTTGACATCGTGAAATGTTAAATGCCAGGATGACCTTCTTCATCCCTGGGCATCTTTGCTATGAAACCACCTTCGTCTGATATTAAGGTGGCCACGTCAGCTTTCTTCTGACTGCCGTTAGCAGCACTTACTTTCTCCCATTTTTTCACTTTGAATCTATTTGTGCCTTAACTTTTTTTTTTTTTTTTTTTTAAGATTTATTTTTAGGCCATCTCTACACCCAACGTGGGTCTCAAACTCACAATCCCAAGATCAAGAGTCACAGGCTCCACGGGCTGAGCGACCCCGACGCCCCTATTTGTGTCTTCACACTTAAGGGGTGTTTCTTGCAGACTGCATGTAGTTAGGTCTCGCCTTTTAATCTCATCTTACAACCTCAAACATTTAATCAGCAGAAAACCGTATGATCATCTAAACAGATGCAGAAAAAGCATTTGACAAAACCCAAATCCTATTCCTGATAAAAACTCTGATGGAATTTACAAAAATGATACCAGAGGGCCACCTGGCTGGCTCAGCTGGTGAAGCATACGAGTCTTGATCTAGGGATTGTGAATCCGAGCCCCACGCTGGGTGTAGAGATCACTTAAAAGTAAAATGTTTAGGGGCCAAGACATGATGTCGAGGTTCACGAATTCAAGCCCTGCATTAGGCTCTCTGCTGTCAGCACAGAGCCCACTGTGGATCCTCTGTCTCCCTCTCTCTGCCCATCCCCCGCTCGCGTTCTCTCGTTCTCTCTCTCTCTCTCTCTCAAAATACATGTTTTTTTTTTTTAAAATGTTAATCTTTACAGAAGATTACAAATGTTCACAAAAATGGGAAAACAAATGTTTGCAAAAAAAATGTAAAATCTTTAAAAACAGTAACAAAGAAACAAAAAAGATCCCAGAACAACCGTCTTTGGTGACTCTGCAAGATGTAAGATCAATATATGAAAATCAGTCGTGGGGGCACCTGGGTGGCCCAGTCAGCTGAGTGTCCGACTCTTGATTTTGGCTCAGGTCATGATCTCACAGTTTGTGAGTTCGAGCCCTACGTCAGGCTCTCCACAGGCAGCACGGAGCCTGCTTGGGATTCTCTCCCCCTCTCTCTCAAAATAAACAAACATTTAAAAAAGCTTTGTAAAAATTAGTTGTATTTCTATATACAATTGACCCTTGAACAATACAGGGTTAGGGGCACTGACTGTCCCATACAGTCAAAAAGCCTCGCGTAAATTTGGATCCCCCCAAAACTTAACTACTAAAAGCCTAACAGCCTACTGTTGATGAGAATCCTCAGCGATACGTAAACAATTAACACACACTTTGTATGTTGCAGGTATCATATGCTGCATTCTTTCAATTAGGCCAGACAAAAGGAAACGTTAAGAAAATCTTAAGAGAAAGTACATTTATAGTAGCGTACACGTTTTCATATTTTTTCCATGTTCGTATATTTATAAAAAATAAACCCACAACGGGGCTCCTGGGTGGTGCAGTCGGTTGGGCGTCCGACTTCAGCCGGGTCACGATCTCGCGGTCCGTGGGTTCGAGCCCCGCGTCGGGCTCTGGGCTGACGGCTCAGAGCCTGGAGCCTGCTTCCGATTCTGTGTCTCCCTCTCTCTCTGCCCCTCCCCCGTTCATGCTCTGTCTCTCTCTGTCCCCCCCCAAAAAAAAAAAAGTTAAAAAAATAAATAAATAAAATAAACCCACATAGAGATGGATCCACACAGTTCGAACTTGTGTTGTTCAAGGGTCACCTGTACTAGCGATCAACACGTGGAGACTGAAATTTTAAAAGCTCTGTTCACCCACACGAGCCAAAAGACGGAAGAAACCCAGTGTCCGTGACTTATGGACAGGTGAGAAAGTGTGGTCCATCCACCCAATGGAGTGCTATTCAGCCTCAGCCTCAAAAGAGGACTCCTGCCGCCTGCCGCCACACGGATGAACTCTGAGCAGACTAAGTGCAGTAAGCCAGTTACGAAGGGACGGACGCTCTGTGACCTCCCTTACATGAGGCCCCAGGGGAGTCAGATCACGGAGACAGGAGGGAGGTGGTGGGTGTTGGGCTGGCGGAAGGGGGTGGAGAGTGAGTGTGGAACGGGGGCAGAGTTTCAGTTTGGGGAGACGGCAGGGTTCTGGAGACGGGTGGTAGGGACGTTCACGACACTGGGAAGGTCCTCGGTGCCGCAGAAGCACAGACCTAAAAATGGCTAAAAGGGTAAATTTTAGGTTGTTTACTTTGTAACAAAAAAAAAACTATTTTTTTAAATTTTTTTTTCAACGTTTATTTATTTTTGGGACAGAGAGAGACAGAGCACGAACGGGGGAGGGGCAGAGAGAGAGGGAGACACAGAATCGGAAACAGGCTCCAGGCTCTGAGCCGTCAGCCCAGAGCCCGGCGCGGGGCTCGAACTCACGGACCGCGAGATCGTGACCTGGCTGAAGTCCGACGCTTAACCGACTGCGCCACCCAGGCGCCCCCCAAAAAAAACTATTTATAATAACGTTAAGAAAAAAAAAAAAACTGCACAACACTGTTGAAAGAAATGAAACAAGAAATCTGTTTTATTCCACACCGGCCACGCCCAGAGGTGCCCGCGTTCTCTTTACTTTCTGACCCAGGCTCCTCCTCTTGTACCACTGCTGTCCCGGCTGTTGCTGGGCTCGGTCTCCAAGGAGCCCTGGCTCCCCCTCGTGGGGAGGAGCGAAGCCCAGGGCCGGGGGCCCAGTGTGCTCACTGCTACCAGGCTGTCGCTGCTGCCACATCTGCTGGAGCACAAGGCTCAACCACAGGAGGGGTCAAGGACCAGATGAGAGCAGGCTGGTGCAGCCAGAGCCTCTGAGGACATAACACTCACTGCGGGGCCTCGGAGAAGCCTCGGAGACTCCCAACCACATACCTGGCGTCGAAGGAGGACCAGCGAGCGGTTTAACCGTCCCAAGAGCGTCGGTGCAGATGAAGGCATCAGCCCTCCGACGTGCTTCAGCTTAAGCAAGCACGCGGTGGGAAAGCTCTGGAAGGAGGAGCCCCTTCCCGAAGGCCCCCCGCCCTCGGCTCCCCAGAGCCCCTGGGAGCGCGCCGACCAGGTCCCGGCTGCAGCCCCCCGCACGGTGCTGAGGCACCTAAAGGAACGCTCGGCTAACTGAGCGCGAACGCAGGCCGGTAATGGGACAGAGTCTGCCTGCACGGCCGCTGGACACTTGTCAACAGATGCACGCCGTGACCAGACCTCAGCCCTGCTTCTCCATCCTCCCTGCTGCAACGTTCACACTGACACCGAGAGGCATCTCCAGGGTGCACCGACTCTGCTGTGAGCATCTGGGGGACAGAAACAGTCCTTCCAAACCCTGCAGGTCCACGGGGCCCAAGGTCAGAACACAAAACTACTTTCCCAATACTTCTATTCCACAGCAATCCTCAGACGTTTCTGTCATTCTCTGTTTCACACGATCAGCATGCATTCAACAGTTGTGACCTTAAATTCACATTTCATTTTTTTTTTTTTTAAACATTTATTTATTTTTGGGACAGAGAG